GGGCCAAATATTTCAGTTTGCCGAACATTTGATGCATCCATACCACATATGAATAAGACCTGAAGCTGATCTGAAAATATGTGACCCTGGAGCACAAAACCAGTCTTAAGTCGCTGGGGTATTTTTGAAGAGTTTGGTTCCAAAATGCTATAAATCCATTTTGATTAATTGGAGTAAAAATGTGTTTTCTTTACCAAGAAAGTGGCAAGATGAAAACCACTATTTTTGGTTTCAAACTTTCACGTAGCATCTTTAGGTTATAATAACATTAAAAATTCTAATCCAGATTTTGATTTTCAAAGATTTATTATAAAAATAAAAAAAAAATTCCCCAAAATGCAATAAATCCATTAAATCAATATAAAAGTTATTTTTCATTTTGAAACTGTTGAAAATACACAACATAGTAAGTTGATCCACATATGACAGCCTCTGAACTTGGTCAATACTAATCTTATATACAGGCACTGGACTAAAAATACATTCAATCAGTCATCGCTCCCAAAAAGAATTCAACGGGTCATCTTGTTAATGCTATAAATTAATTACAACAATAAAAGAAAATTTCATCATGAACATACATGAACAACAATATCACATTAAACCACAGAAATTCCAAAATGACATTTCCCTTACATTCAACTTCCACAAGCGCATTCATCTTTGCCATGTTACATTCATTTAGTTGACTAGTGCTATATACGCTGTATTAACAAAAACATTAATGGCATAAATAAAAACACTTACACTGACAAGCTACGCAATATCGCATTCATAATCGAATGTGACTCATCTGCGATTATGAACGTGATATAGCAGTTATCTACGGCTCTGTGTAGTAAATGCCGCTCCATCTGAAAGCACGTGGTGGAGATTTACTATTAATCACAGAACCGGCTTTACTGACGAGATGCACATGACAATCACATGCAATTTATCGTGCAGCCCCAAGTTTACAAGGAATAGTGGTCTTCAGTTTCCACCTCTCTCACTCGCTGTCAGTATTTCTTTCTCTCTTTTCCTAAAACATGAAATATTCCTCCATCTCTGCAGACTCTCTGCCCTCTGTCTTTTAACATCTGCCCTTTCATCTTTTCATTTCTCTTGATTCCTTCCCATCTCTTATTACAATCATTTCCTTAATAAAGCAGCTCACTTGTCTTCTTCAGAAACTCATTAACCTCCTCTCATCTCCTGGTTCTCTGGTCCTCTCCTCATGTCTCGTTTCCACTCTGTCCTCTTTTCACATCATTTTGTCTCGTCTCCACCCCTCATGTTATCTTCTCCTCTCTTCTTCTCCAATCTCTTCTTGCCTCAAAATCTCTATTTTGTCACCTCACATGGCTCCTCTCCTCTCTTTTCACACACACTGCACTATTATTAAAATAATAGGCTATTAATTAGTTATGTCTTTAGGCTTCTGTGTGTTCTGTTAGCAAACAAGGATTAGTTAAACTCCATTTAGTGTCGTCAACATTATATAGTACTGTGCTTTTTTGAAAGACTCGGATTTAAGTAGCTTTATCAGCATGGCATAAGGATTTACATTGCAAAAGCAGTTTAAAGGGTTTTTTTATGTTAAAAAAATAAGCATTTCACAGGTAGATTTCCTGCAACGTAGGTATTACGGGGCTGACGAGACATGAGCCGTGCGGATCCATATGCAAGCTTTATTTTGGAAAAGACAGAGACGTGGTCATGAAACAGGCATGGGTCAGATAAAGGCAGACAGGTATATGGCGGGCAAAACACAAGTATAATCCTAGGGCTAGCGTGGGTCGACGATTGGCAGACAGAGTCACAGGGGCAAGGCTAAAGGGAGAAATCCAGGAAAACAGGGGAAGATCAAAACTGGAGAAAACAGGTAAGGCTAAGGCGGGAAAAGAATGAGGGCTCTGTAGAGTAGCTATTTGGAGATATGTGCTAAACAATACTCGGCAGAGGGAAGGGATCAGAGTGAGTGTTAAATAGTGAGGGAGTGATATGAAACAGCTGGGTGCAATCAGTGTTACCAGCTGTGTGCAATCCGTGCTGAGTGCAATCAGTGCAATGAATGATGGGATATGTAGTCCGGAGTGATGTGCAACAGTGTGTAGTGCGAGAGTCAATGAAATCGGAAAGGGTGACCTCTGATGGCTAGCAGAAGGAAGTTCATGGACCGGATTCGTGACAGAGTGGAGGCGGAACAGGGGGAGGGATGGAGGGCCACCTGGAAGTGGAGAGACCATGCACTGAGGCAGGACCAGTGGAGCAGAGAACCAGGGCGGAGCCGGCAACCCAGGTGGAGCTGAAGACCACCACAGCAGAACAGACGGGACTGAAGACC